TAGAAAAGATAGTGATATCATCCAAATAAACTTTAACAAATTTTTCTCTGAATAGAGCAAGGACTTTGTCTATTAGTCTTTGAAAGGTTACAGGAGCATTGCATAATCCAAATAGTATAATATTGAACTCATAAAGTCCAAACTTTGTGATAAAAGCAGTTTTCTTTTGTCTGCATTGTTTATAGCTACTTGCCAATAATCACTTGCGAGATCAAGGCAAGAGAACCATTTAGCACCATTAAAAGTTTCTAGGAAGTCATTCACCACCAGCATAGGATAGATATCCTTCTTTGTGACTTCATTTAACTTTCTATAGTCAACACAAAGCCATTTCTTATTATTTTTCTTTGGTATTACTACCACAGGAGAAAACCAGGGGCTGGTAGTTGAGCTGATAATTCCTTTTGTAATATGTTTATGATTTCTTTCTTGATAAATTCCAACTGATCAGGAGAGGCTTTATATGTTCTCTGTTTGGTTTCACATTTCCAGTATTAATAGTATGAATTATCACGTTGATTCTTCCCAGGTCACTAGTTTGTTCTTCTTTGGAGATGCTTTTAGCAAAAATATCTTTATTTTCATACAAAAGATTTTATACAATTGCTTCTTGCTCCTTAGGTAAAACACTTACATTTGATATATCAGGTTCTTCATGAGATGCTTCTGAAAGATATATAGCTGAATTTTCAGATAGAGTGTCTTTTATGCATATATCAAAAGTGTATGCTTTTGATTTTTTAAGATCTTCTTCTTCTTGATATTCAATTTTATCTAAGAGCTTATCATCATTAAAAGATTTCTCTATAATAGATTGAAGAAAAATATCTGCTAGATGGGTTGTTCCAATATTAATACATCTTTCATTATGATAAATTTATAAAGTTCATATATCAAAGTCTCACTTGACTTTATCTTTTCAAACCAGTCAGTATTAAGAAGAAGAGTTTTTTCCTGGGATTCAATAACTTGCAGTTTAATAGGAATTATTAAATCTTGAATAAAGATTTGTAGATTCAAAATTTGTTCAAGGGCTCTTGTTCTTACAGTATATTATTAGCAGTTACTACAATTGTATTGGAAAAGGCATCTGGAGAGAGTTCAAGTTTATCCATAAGTTTTTTCATGATAATGCTTAAAGCAACTTCTGAATCCAAAATAATAACAATTGAATTTTCTTTAATTCGTACATAATATTTAACAGCTGTTGTTCTCTTTTTTTCTTCTTCAGACTAGAGATAGTTTGCAACTTCAGTATTTTTAGATCTTCTTAAAACCTTAACCAAGTTTCTTCACTGATTAGGATACTGTAGCATTTGTCAAAGAGTAGTGTTTGAATGAATTTATAGAATATAATCTGAAATATTATATGGATTCAAGTTATTTATGATGAAAGGTTGATGCCTTGTTCTAAGTTTTCTGGGGGTAGCAATAGATACTACTACAGGTTCTTGTACTATTTCTTCTTGTAATTCCATGGGTTGTACTGGAATTCTTCTGGTTTATAATTGAATTTTTTTTGAGATTTTGATTGTTTTTACTTTTCTCTAGCTTCTCTTCTATTAGTAGAGTAAGGGGATAGTCTTGCTCATTGACCAATATAAACTTCTTCTTCATCTTCTTCATTCCATTCTTGGATGAAATATTGTTCTGTTGTTAGATAATTAATTGGTTGATTTCTTTTAAAAAGGGGTCAATAGGATGGTAAGGTTCTTTCAAAAAGACAATTTCTTACAAAATGGCTAGGTTCATCACATTTGAAACAGCTTCCTATAAGGTTTGACCTTTGAGTAGAAGCAAATAACTGCATTTTTCATGCTGATGAATTACTTCTTTGTTGGAGGGAGTAGACTTCTATCCTTTTCAATCTTTTAGCTAAATTGAATTACATTTGTTCAAATTTTTTTAATGGTTCATCCATAGCCTCATCTTGTGCTTTAAAGACTCCAAAACCTGAATTTCTTGATGCAGGAGGTCTTTTATCTTCATGGATATCTTGATCTTCTTCATATTGCTTTGCATATTTGAGAGCATTAGTAATAGCTGCTGGTTTCATCATTGATACAATAGGAGCAACATGAGAGTTCAATCTACAGATAAAGAATCTAAGTTTTTGTTTATTATTTATGGTGCTATCTATATCTGCCTTGGCTAATAACTTTTTAAAAGTAGTGTAGTAAAAGTCGACAATTTTATAAGAACCTTGTTTTCTTTCTTCCAAATCTCTGATATATGAAAATAGAAAAAACCAATATAACATTTTATAGAATATTCAAAATATAAAAATACAATAAAAGAAGCCTAGTTAAAAGGTATAAAAATAGTATATTGGAATTTAAGAAAGAGAAATAGAAACAAAAAGATCAAACCTCCCAAAATACAATAATATTCTAATAGTTATCAAAAAAAATAAGAGAAATAGAAGTATGATTAATAAAGCTTATAAGAAAGGTATTTGAAAATAATAAAGACTCAATTGATTTTCTTTTAGGGCTGATTAAAAGAGACTTATTAATAAAAGCTGAAAAACTAAAATGTAAAGAAAAAAAGATAGGAACAGTAGTTAAAAAATAAATACTCTGTTGCTAAAAAAAGATTTTGAACTATTTTAGAAAAAAAGTGTAAAATAAATAATGTAAGTAATAAAATAGGAAAAGGCTCAAGGAATTTTCCAAAAAAAAACAAGACAAAAAGACTTATAAAGTCATATTTAATAAGAAAAACAAGAAATCTAAGAGATGAAAAAAAAAAAACTGATAAAAAATGTACCAGAAAAAGGTTTAACTAGGATAATAATAATGAGAGTTAAAAATGGCATTAAATGATTGAATTTTAGGCTTAGTCAGTATTTTGATCAGTAATCTGTAATAGTGAACTGCAAGTAAAGATGGGTTTCTAAAAAGGGAGGCAGGGACATAAGTCAAATGTCCCTCACTAGGAAACATTAAAATTTTTAAATTAATAACTATAAAAAAACTACTCACAATTGTTTTCTATTATCTAAATCATTGATTTATAACATTTTCTGACCTTTGTTCCTATTAAAGTGAAGAGCCATGAATTTTGTCCTTCAAAAAAGGACATAAGTGATTTGCAAAATTTTATATGCTAAATATTTTAGGAACTTATCATTAATTGCAAGTAATAATATTAATAATAGAAGAGTATTTATCCAAACTATAAATGAAGTGATAAATCATTTCTAAGGTTACACTTAGAGTTTGAAAACAAACTAAGATAAGTGAATTAACATTTTAATTTTAGCAATACTATAAATAGTATAGTTGATATCCTATTTAATAAAGCATATATAACTAATCTGACAATAAGTACAAAAAAAAAAAATTTATTATTATTATTTTAATTTAATTAAAAGATCAAATTTATTTTTTATCATTTTCTTTAAATAATTAAAATATCAATTTATTGTTTTAAATATTATTATTTTATTTATCTTTTCAATTTCAACTTTCATTAGTTTATAGTAATCTTTTTTTTTTAATGATTTTACTTAAAGTCTTTTTAATTCTCATTCTTTCATAAAAACTTTATTATTAAATTAATTTAATTAATTTTGTATATATTTCTTGAAATAATATTTTTTTATTTTTTTTAAAAATTATTGTCAAATGATTGATAAGAGTGAATATTAATGATGCTATACACTTAGCTTTTTTTAAGACTAACAAATCAAAACCATAATTATAAAAATTCAATAGATGTCAAAATTTTAACAACAAAAAAATAAAATAAATTTTCATTTGAAAAAAAATCATTGCAGATAATAATAAAAGTTTATCCAATATTAACAATCTTATTGCAGGTAAAATTCATTATAAAAAATAAGTTTACTTAATACATATTATTAGATTTTATTAATAAAATAAAAAGTTGTATATGTGAGACTATTTTTTATTAATATTTATAATTCTTAGATGACCCTTTATTTATTTGGAGGGCACTGTATTTTTTTTAATTAACTTAACTTTTATCAAATAAACAGCTATGTGAAAATGGTAGTCACATTATTATAAATTAACTTGAAAGTGACAGTGAATTCTTTTTCACCCATCCATTTCCATTTTGCATCACATATTCTCAAATAAGCCAACAATCATTACCATTGCTTTTTTAAACACTCCTGCATGAATCAGTGTCATATATGGCCAATAAATTAATTACATGATCGACGACCGGACAGGATGTACTGTAAATGCTCACCGGTCCTCCTCCGACGAAAACCGGTGACCTGATGATAATACAGTAAACATACTATTTCAAGCAGCGGACATGGATTGATGCACATATGAAGTTGCATAAGCATTTATTGCAAATAAATAAATAAATATAATTTTTTTATTGTAAAGAACGTTTATGAAAAAAAATTTTTTTAATCAAATTGGAGAAACGTTATTCTATAAAAGATTTCTTTTTTACCAATTGTTGAAAAATGATCGCATAGAATTTAGACATATCCTGTTTTGGAAATTATTGAGCAACTTAAAAAATGCGACCTTCAAAAAGTTCTACGATACTATATTCATGCGATTGACATATTGGGAAGACCTTACGGTGCGATCGGGTTGTGTACGGCTTAGCCAGTATGTAATAGCAGAATTCATATCGTTTGTTATCAAAAGCTAGCCTGCCTTGAATCTCTGATCAATCCGAATTTCCAGCTTCCGCTTTAGTCAACGCGGTATGAAAGGGAACGGCAAAATATTTGTAACAATACAGTTCCAAGACGGATGTTACCTTCCGTAGTTAAATACGAACGTAAATGATTTTGCCACTTAATCAGTAACAGAAAAAAAAAATTGGATGAGAAAATCAATATATTACAAATTAATTTATGATAAAATATGCAGTTTAGAAGTTTAAATAAAAATTGAATGCCAGGAGAACGCTAAGGTTTCTTCTTTTTTTTTTTTTTTGTAAACGGGACTTCAGATGTTCTTTCAGGTTAGGCCCTTTTTTAAATATCCAACTCTTAAAGAAATTCATTTTTTCTTATCTTCACTTTTCCTGCGATCATTATCTTTGCGTTGTGCGCGCTCCTCATATTTCTTCTTAACATCTTCTATAAACCACGGTTGTTCGGAACTGGCATTATCCGTCTCAAAGTTCGCATCGGATTTCTCGTTCTCGTCAATTTTCGGCGGGTAATTTTCTATATTGTTGTCCTTTGCTAATTTTCGCTTCGATCCACGCCATTTTATAAACATCGACCGCTTCCAACCTGACTTATTAATCTTGGTCGCCGCCTTGAGGCTCTCAGGTTCCGACAAACTATAGATGTGCTTCAACAGCCATTTGGCCAAGTCCGAATTCTTTTTCTGAACCGCCAGGCACAATATATTCATATTATCACTATCCACTATTCGAGCGTCCGCTCCTTTCTTCATCAACAACTCAACAATATCGGTTGGCCAATTATATTCTATGGCCAAGAATAGCGCCGTGGGCGCCTGGAATGGAGGTTCCCGTGGCACGGTGCACGGTAAATTGGGATTGGCACCCGAATCTAGAAGAGCTTGGATTATGGGTTTTCGATTCTCAGGTTTATCGTGCTTCTCGGCCAAAAAGTATGACAACACCGTCCGGCCATTCTTGTCGCGTGCATTTATCAGGCAACCGCACTCGCACAGAGTATTTATCGCCTCTACCATATGTCGCACGTAAACATCAACCTTCTTCTCGTCCTTTAACCCTAACCTAAATCTTGTATTCTCATATAGTCGATGAAGAGCGGTCCTGTTATATTTACCCTTGACCTTGAAGTCGGCATTGTATTCTTTCAGTGATTTTAACATATTGATCAACTTTTCTCCCTTGAGATGAGCCGCCGCTATGTGTACAAGAGGTTCTTGAAAGCCACTATAATCATAGCTGCAATTTACACCATCCCCAGAATCGAGATGAAACCATAGTCCCTCCACATCACCGTCTCCCAGGTGAATTGCCGCATTGCATCTCTTGGGCTCAACAAAATCTTTCAGACTTTGATTATTATCAATGTATTTATCAAGGATGGTAGAACAAGGTTTCCTTCCGGGATATTTGGTTTCATCGACTGCTATGCGAGAGGCGTGATCACGGCGATCCGATTGGTTGGATAGAGGATGAGCCGATGAGATCGAGTAAGCTAAAGAACGAAGGAAAAACGATTAGAATTTCATTGCAAGTCGATCTCGATTGACGACAACAAATTTGTGAACCGAAACGATCAATACTTGGTTGATAAGCGGGATTGCCTGGGAGAAGAGGTGTGACATTGCTGTGAGGAGGAGGTCGACTTTGAGATAGATAATTCTGGTGTGATGATGGGGGTGGTGGTTGTTGGGAGTATACGTAAGTTTCCTGGGAATTCATAGGATAATATCCACCTTGTGGATCGTTAGTGTATGAACTATTAGGCAAAAAAGGTGCATTGGGGTAATTTTGTTGCTGTTGAGTAGTTATTGTTGATGGATTGTGATTTGGGATGTAATGGTGCGGCTGGGATTGTGACAGCGGCTGCGGATTATTATTATGATAGGGGGTGTTCATCGGTAGTTGCATTCCGTTAAGGTAACCAGTTTGCTGCTGATAGTTGTGCGCCTGAGGATACCAATTTTGATTGTACGCATCATTTTGGGCTTGCGGGGTGACATAATTTGGCTGCTGGGGTCGAGATTGCGGTAACATCAAAGCGGAAGGACTATTATGGATCATCGAGGGGTAGGCGTTATCTCTATCTCTATTTTTATGGTAATTAGTAGGGATGGATGCAGCTCTTTGCGTAGGAGGCATCACTTGACCGCCTTTACCTGATCGAGCACTCGGAAATGACGAGACACTCGGAATCGGCGGTTTGGCTTGGTGAGGTGGAGGCGGGGCATACCCCTGAACAGTGTACGCTTGATTATCTAGTTTATCTAGATTTTGTGGGACACAGTCCTGAACATTGTATACTTGATTGTAAACACTGTTCCTCCTACCACCACCACCACCACCACCACCACCACCATTGCTCGCCTGAGGCTGCTGCAGAGGTGGGTGGTTTTTATTGTTATATGGAGGTTGACCTTGAGAGGGAGGGTATTTTATGTTTCCTTGATTTTGCGCGGGTGTTTGCACCGATTTTTTCAAATTTACCGGGCGATTATTATCCCACACCGGTGACAGTCGTATTTTTCCCAAATCCTCACGTATGCGCTCGATATCTGGCCTTTGTGATGGTTCCTGACTCCAGGCACTTACATAGATAGCACAATAGTCCAGCGGGGTGCCGTCAACCGGTTTCTCCCTCACACCCTTTTCCACCTCTTTAATAATTTGCAACATGTCCATGTCTTTAAACGGAGGCACTCCACTCGATATCTCCCAGAGCAACACGCCCAAACTATATATGTCGGATTTCTTGTCTCGTTTGTATTTTGAAAATATGAAACATTGCGGTTCAACGTAACCCGCCATTCCCACCACCGCGGAATTTGAATTCGCTTGGCCTGATTTCGACAAACCGAAATCGGTTATCATCATTCTCCCTTCGTGAACCAGTATGTTTTTTGAATGCTAGAAAATCGTGTTTTGAGGGTGTCGAGGTTAACGCAATTTTCAATTGAACGAGCGGCTCGCGCACGTCTTGGAAGGGAAAAAAAAAAATGCCTCATACCAGATCTCGATGCACGATGTTACGCTCATGTATACACTTAAGACCACTCGCTATGTTTATTCCCATCTTAATTCTATCCTCCCAGGTGAGTTTCTTGTGATTGTTGCGCAGGTAATCTCGCATATTTCCACCATCGGCGTACTGCAGCACCATAAAATACCTGTGATTATCCACGTCTATTCAGGATAGGGAATGTTAACAGGAAAGAATGCACACAGCGTATATGAAAGTGAACAGGTATAGCAATAGCAAAGTACCTAGACTTAACCCAAAGAATCTAATGACGTTGTCATGAAAATCCACGGAACGAATCAACTGGAACTGAACAATGGGAAACGGAAAGTCTCGTCAGCAATGTCTTCAAAAGTTAGCACACACACACACTCGCAATGACTAATGTTATTCTCCTTCCTTACGACCGTTCATCAATTTCGCCATTTGCGCCTACCTCATTAACAAATTCATTAAACGACTTGTCACTTTCCAATTCGGGACTGTTATATAAAGTTTTCAATGCAACCGTTTTCTCACCAGCAGTCCAGTACGCCTTCGAGACTTCGCCGAAGGCACCTCGAGCTATCACCTGGATATTCTCAAACTCTTTGAAGTCAAAGAGCGTTATGAGATCATTATCAATAGACTCCTTTAACCAAGTTAACCACTTTGACATTTGTGCAAGTTAAAAGACGAAAATTATGTGAAATAATTTAGAGGAAATATGCAGCAACGTTGCACACAATGCAAAATCATCCAACGTGATATCAGCCTATCAATTAACAGCGGACACAATGATGAGATAAGGCTAGCGGCAAGGGATTTTTTATCGAAAAAAAGCACTTCACTTCTATCTAATAAGTTTTTCACGCTCATAAATATAATTAAATATACATATACTGTATATGGATTTTTTTTTTTCTTGTTTCTCAGCAGAATTTGAAAACATAATAAAAAAATTACTGCTAGATTTTTAATATATTAAATATGAAAGGTGGATACCCTGAAAAAAAAAAAAGAAGAGATTCTGAAGGGTGGTGGTGGTGTTGTGACGGAAACCAAAGCTGGAATTCTACGAAACAAAGGAATCAAAATTAAGTAAAAGCGTGTGAAACCATAATCAAATCTAATGTGGTATAACATTTATAACTGATATAAACAATAAAGCATGCATAAGTTTTTCCATCGCCGTGCACTACTTTATTTTCATGCGTTCGCAAATTGTTTAATACGTCTGAATAATAATAATAATTATTATTATTATTATAATTATAATAATGTAATAGCAACAATAATAGTAATAGTAATAATAAAAGTAAGAAAAAATGTCCACATTAAACATAATTCGTCAATCACAGGCATTGCGCGCAAAACATACATACCAACTTTTCCTCTCGACAACCCTCAACGTTCCATTTGGCAACACCATTCCAATATCACCGGTTCGGAACCAACCATCGGCATCGATGACTTGAGACGTTTCATCCGGTTTTTTATAGTAGCCCCTCATTACATTCGCCCCACGTACGTAGATCTAATTTGAAAAGTGTGATGAGCACGAAAATTTTAATATTCCCAGAGTTACAACCAGAAATGAGGTCATTACCTCTCCCCTAGGATTGGGATCATCATCCACCGAATATCCTTTTTCCAAACAATCAACCAACTTAATCTCGTTACACGGCAACGGCCCTCCGCACTGTGAGTCATCGCCATCCGATTGGTAATCATAGAAAACGTTCATCGTTACCACTCCACCGCATTGAGTCAGTCCATACACCTGAATCACTTGACATCCGACGGTTATACGCAGGAAGTCGAGCGCCGGTTGCGAAATTGGTCCTGACGATGGGCACGATAAGTTTTAGACGAGCGTTCGCGAACAGATAATTATTACGACAATACACCTACCACCGCCGGTAACAATCACCCTCACTTTTCCGCCAAACTTGGATTTCACACGATTGAACACAACCATATCCCACAATGAATTCTTAACCAATTGTCCTTTCTTCAACGATTGACACTTAGAGCGGTAACCTCGTCCAAACAACAACTGTTTTCCGTGAGTCGATAGAATGTCCTCACGAAATTTGGTCACGAATTGTGGGGTGCTAAAGACAGTCGTTGTTCACCTTTATTGCGATCACGATTGAACTTTGATTGCGAATTGTCGATATGAACATGAAGAAAACCTACCATAAAAAAATAGTAGGCTTCACCTCTTCAGCGTCAGCCAGTACGTTGGACAACTTCCCACCGTAGAACGCGATCGACGCTCCCGAAAATAGTAACGCCGACACCGCGACTTTTTCAAATATGTGTGCTATTGAAGAAACGAGTGAAAAAGATCCACCGTAGGTGTGGTGACGGATAGATCGGTTAACGGACGGTCACGTTTAAATGATATAACACGCGAAACCTTTACTCACAAAGTGGCAAATACGACAAGTGTCTATCCTCGTGATTGATCTTTTGTTTCTCGTGCACGGTAGCAAGTACTCCAGCTATAGTCAAGAAAATACGGGAATAACATAAGCGATGTGTCGCGCGTGCATACTCAAATCAGTGAAGTAATAGTACTAACCCACATTCGCCACAATATTCTGCATTACGTGACACAGGACACACACATATAAGCATACACAAATTCAACCACAAAACTTTCACTATACCAATGATGATTGCGATGAGAATAAGAACATACCGCATGGGTCAATTCAATTCCTTTTGGTCCCTGAATGCATTAAACATTTGTGATATTAAACGTGCTATTGTCGTTGTTAATCATGGAAACGTGAAAATCCGGAAATGCTTACATGAGATGTGGTACCACTTGAAAAAACAATGGTTGCGGTGTCTTCGGGTTCTACAACAAAACCATTGTCAAAATAGACATCGAATTAATTCACACAGGCGTTGAAAGAATTGAATCCCGTGACGACGACCGTCCAATAAATACACACCGGCTAAAACGTACTCCATTCTATTCTCACTTCCAATCTCTTCGATCTCTTCAAAAGAACGCAAATTCAATTTCAAAGAATTCGCTCGGTCTCTTTGTTCATCCGTGATGATTGTCCCACTGCCATCCGCCAGCACAACATATTTTAAACTAGCACAATTTGGCGAGGCTGAAAAAATGATTGGCAATGTTTCTGCGGAAACAATGATCGTTTGGATTTCAGTGAGCTGTATCTGATTGATGACATCGGAAAGAAGCGGTGAAACGCTGGGTATGGCCACGGTGATCAGGCTGTAATGACTGGAAGCTGCATTCGTCGTCGTCATCGTCGTCGAGTGTGCGTGAGCGGTGATAATCATTATGACGCATGTGATTTAATTGCAAACAATTTTTCACTCACCCAAATCAGCGATCACCCATTCTTACAAAGAAATATTGCATATCGTGAGTTAAATTCACATCGACTATTTCATTTACGAGAACATCAACGCCGATTTTTTTTTTTTTTTTTTTTTTTTTTTTTTTTCTTTCCCTTTTCTTTTTTTTTTAAAAACCCAAAAAGATTTTTTGGGTTGGGGGGCGTTCCCGCATTCTTGTTACATCCCGC